GTCGCTCCGAGTCGTTGTTGATAGGAACTGGTGTAGGGTCCATTCTGGGGGCACAGTTGAGCAGGCTAAACTTCTGTGTTTACGTTTTGTAAGTGAGCAGCTGCTTGCTTGTCGAGACAGGGGCCACCCAGTCTGCAGGCAGAGCTTATATAACCTCGGCTCGTTGCGCGCGCAGCTTGGGTGGTTAGACTGAGCTTCCAGACATATGTTTTCTTCTCCTCAGAAAACCCACCACTTTTTTGGGAAAGACAGTGTTCTTTTCATAACGAAATTAGAAGTAAATATGTGGACGGGTGTTGGGATTGAGTACTACAGATGTTGGAGGTAACATGTTTGGAGCAGATGCTCTTTTGTTTATGATCTTGTTAATATTTCATGTACCTGATATTGTATTGTTGTTGTGGTTATTGGTTGAGAATAAATCCATGTGGACGAAGATTGTTTCTCTTCAGCCTTCAACCATAACAACGGGTGTTAGTGGCTTTACAAGAATGTACAAATACCAATCTTATGAAATCTCACTAACCCATTATACCTTCTGGAGAATAAATTATTTTTATTAATGTCAGCAAGTTACTTCAGTTAAGAAAAAATAAGTAGAAAAATTCCTCAGGAACAATGGAAGTACTTTCCACAAGCCACAGGCTTCCTGTCTCCGTCGAGGCCACTAGGGAGTATTAGGGCTTATCTAGGTCCCCCTTGACACATGACTAACCTTCCACAGGGCACAACCTACAATCACCTATGTAAGCCGGGTATATACGTACAGCTAAGTGCATAGTGAGGTACACTATGAGGTACATAGTGAAGTACACTATGAGGTACATAGTGAAGTACACTATGAGGTACATAGTGAAGTACACTATGAGGTACATAGTGAGGTACACTATGAGGTACATAGTGAGGTACACTATGAGGTACATAGTGAGGTACACTATGAGGTACATAGTGAGGTACACTATGAGGTACATAGTGAGGTACATAGTGAGGTACACTATGAGGTACATAGTGAGGTACACTATGAGGTACATAGTGAGGTACACTATGAGGTACACTATGAGGTACATAGTGAGGTACACTATGAGGTACATAGTGAGGTACACTATGAGGTACATAGTGAGGTACACTATGAGGTACATAGTGAGGTACACTATGAGGTACATAGTGAGGTACACTATGAGGTACATAGTGAGGTACACTATGAGGTACATAGTGAGGTACACTATGAGGTACATAGTGAGGTACACTATGAGGTACATAGTGAGGTACACTATGAGGTACATAGTGAGGTACACTATGAGATACACTATGAGGTACACTATGAGGTACATAGTGAGGTACACTATGAGATACACTATGAGGTACATAGTGAGGTACACTATGAGATACACTATGAGGTACATAGTGAGGTACACTATCAGGGGAAAGGAAAAGTTGCCCAGATGCTTCTATCCTGCCTTGGGAATGAACCCGGGACCTTCGGTTGTGACCCAATGGAACTTTTCACTGCACAACAGGACCCAATAAACCATGTATGTAAAATATATTTTGACTTATTTTATTTATTTATTTATATACAAGAAGGTACATTAGGTTTGTGAGAGTACAGAGCGTTGAAGTTTTACTTTCTTGTAAAGCCACTAGCACGCATAGTGTTTCTGGCTTAGGGATGACTTCGGGAAAAGTCACACTTACATATGACCTAAGGCGTTGTGTGCGCCGGTCGTCGTGTCGCTCCTGGCTCTTGAAGACGAACTACGTACTGTTTTATTTCATACTCCAACCGTCAAAATCAGACGTTTCCCGGAGCTCCTCCTCCACCTGTTGTTATTGATTTAGGGGCGTCGACGATTGTGGGAAACTTTAAGCTGCTATTAGGACAATATCCAACTCTGGCCCCAGATATCACTCGGTACCCCTACTCAAATCTCTGAATATGTTAGATATTAAGTCACTGCACATTCTCTCATGTGTATTATATATACAGTATATAAAACACTGAACTGTAATGCCAATCCTGACCTTAAAAGCTTCATTGAAGGTTGTAACAGAACCCATGAGCACCACACCAGAAACAAATACCATTTTCATATTCCAAGAGTACGACTTAATCAAATTAGAAATGCTCTGCAAATCAAGGGACCCAGAATGTGGAATGACCTTCCCAATCAATTAAAGACTGTACCTCTCTCAACCAGTTCAAGATTAAAACTAAGCACTGGCTAATTAATTCCCTGTAACCTACCTTACCCCTATAATGTCAACCCATGTCTGTTATTTGTTGCAACCCATCCTCCAAATTGACAGTACGATTTAATACTAAGTGTAATAAGTACACTTTCTTACTGTCATAAACAGTGCATAATTGCACTCATGGGGCTGTTACATTTACCCAACCCCCTCCCCCGATTTAGTTCTCGTTTTCTGTTAAGACACTTAGAATTTTAGAATGAAGTTTTCAACTTTATTTTGAAATACACAAGTTTTAAATATTAGGAATTTCTTTTTCAGGTTTATTAAACAATATAGATTTTATACAAAATTTTAAAATATCCTGAGTTACTTTACAATTTATTGACATATTTTAGTTTTTGTATTAGTTTTATAAAACTGTAATATCAATATAGCTATAGGTTAAGTACTAATTGTAATTAAGAAGCAATAAAATTATTGCTGGATAAGGGATTATCTACAAGGCAGAAAAGGTCAACTGTATTACCAGGGATACATGTCTGAGGAACGGATGTTTCAGTTAGGTACCCCCCAAAGGGGAGTTTTAAGTCCCACCTTATTCAATGTATTAATGAACAGATTAGCATCAGAGATGTATCCTCCAGGGGTCACGACAATTATATATGCTGATGACATTCTTATACAAGGCACTTCTGGGAACAAAATTCAAACTGCTCTTAACATACTTGGTACAACCTGTCACAAGTTAGGCTTAGTTATACGTAAATGCAGACAAAACCAAATATGAGTATAGGAAACAAAGAAATATAACACTCTAAATGGTGTGGAACTGAGCCGTGTTCAGAAGTACAAGTATCTGGGCATGTATGTTGGATACACATATGAGAGTAAAAATGCTGAAATAAATCAAATCAGCACCTTATGTAAAGCCCGTCTGCATCCTCTAAAAGCACTGGCTTTTTCTGGTAAAGGTGTTGGGGTACCTATCTTGCGGATGTTGTACATAAGCACTGTTCGGTCCCTGATAGACTATGCAGCACCCGTTTTGTCTTACACAGGCCAAGGCAGAATTCAAAAAATAGAGCTGATACAGAATGAGGCTATGAGGATTATTCTTGGATGTCAAAGAAATGCAATGATTGAAATAATGAGAATGGAATTAAATTTACAGTGTGTGTGATAGAGTCTGTGACATTAACGCTAGAGTATCTATTCGTTTCATGAGGAGAAAAGGAGGGGATAAGCTGTTTCAGAGCGTTCAGACCTGCTTGAGTGACGTACACACTTCCAGGAAACTGAGAGAGACACGTTACACGAGGGGACTAGCTCATGACCTCAGGGAATACGATGTACTTGACTGCTGTAAACCCTCTCGACAGTGTAATAGGTCTGCTCCCTGGAAAGTACAGAAAATAGACGTTGAAATTGTACCCATTAAGGTGAAAAAGATTCATCATGAACCGGGACAATTACAGTGTTTCTATGGAAGCATGATATCTCGGTTACCAAGAGGCAACAGTTTACATGTATATTGTGTCGGGTCGGTGGCGGAGGATGGCAGGGCCGAGTGTGGTGTCCTAATAAGGGAATATACTGAGTTTGGGACTGTGGACAGGATAATTGAACTCCGACTTAGTAATTATATATCATCCACACAAGCTGAACTGCAGGCCATTCTGGCGTGTTTGGAGGAAGTACGTCATGACGACAAAAATGTTTTTGTGTTTGTCGATAGCCGAGGAGCACTTGATTCCTTAAACAGTCGAAACCCAGTTTTCATGTCCATAGTTGAGGATTGTAAGAAAAGGATAACTAAGATACAGCTGAAAGGTCATTGTGAAATTCATGTGGATTCCATCTCATGTTGGAATAGTGCTCAACGAGGTGGCGGATGACTTGGCCAAACGTGCCACTTCAAAACCACAAGTTGACATTGAATGTGATTTCACAATGAGACAAATAAGAAGCAAAATCAGAAATATTCAGGCACAGGCAGAAGTGGAGAGGAGAGATATAATGTATGAGAGAAGTCAAACCATGCAACACTACATGTATGTGAGTCAAAACACCCATTTCACTTATGGTAAAAGGAGAAATGCTTGGAGTGACTGTGTACATGTGGCTTAGGCTTGGGTACAAATATTACTGGGAATATGGGATAGGTGTTCATGATAATGACACAAAGTGTAAACTATGTGGTATGTTAAGGTCTCACACCCTTGCCCATTATGTTCTTGATTGTCCCTTGATTAATGTATATAGAAACACTGAGATAAGGACTGTTCCTGAACAAATAGCCTGGATGTGTCACAACAGAAAGGTTGATGATATTCTTGAGAGATATAAGAATTTTGCACCAAGACTGTAATTTTTTGTTGAATTATCTGCATGTCTCTTGCAAATTGTCTATACAGTATACCTAGGTCATAAAAGTATTTGTGTGTACGTCTGATACCATACTACTTGTGAAGGAGGAAATGTAGATGTTTATCTCTGAGAATGTTTGGTAATATGTTTATTGTATGTGATGTGTGTATATGTATGTATTAACACGATGTACTGAATGGGGCGAGAATAGCTTGAGCTACCTCATCCCTTTGTGTGTATTTTACATCAATAAACTTATTTCAATTCAAGGTATTCCTACTGGTATCCATTAGTCCTGGTCAGTAAGCACTTGTGATGGCCTTAACCCTCCAGAGGTTAATTAGCATCACGCCCAACACCAAACTATGAACTAATTTGTATGATAGTACTGTTATAAACAATAATCAACTACAAATACAATGGTTAAATAAAATACTAAATACATTATAATTTTATTAATGTAAATTTGCTGTAAAGTAATGTACAGAGTGAGCACTTGGTGTTGGCACCATGCCTTGTCCTAGACTTGAAAATTTAATACAAAATCTAAACTTCTTTTTTAAACAAATGATATAGTTGAGCTACAGGAATACATTGTGAAATGGCAACATATGATGCTATTTTAGCTTATTATCAGTCTGACTTAATACAAGAACAAATCCACATGGCCATGATGAGGGTTCAAACCTACGTCTGGGATGATCCCCAGATGCGTATTATAAGTAAAGTATATGAAACATCACTATATTTTGCAGTAATTACAACTCACATGAAGAAATCTGTAAAGTAAGTGATTATCAAAAGCAGGCACTAAGCCGGGAAGGCTATGTGGCACCATCAAATGTGCAGAATAATCAGAGGGTGCTAAATATCACTAAGGGTGCCAATATGAGAACAGAAATGCATAAGGCGAACGATATCAAAAGTATCCGATTCAACAAGAATTCTATCGAGGGACAAGTGACCGCGAGGGACAGTCGGAAAGCAAGACACGCGCTCATCCTGGAAGGCAGGACATTCAACAAGGATATGCATGTCTGTAAGGGGAACAACACAATGTGGACACTAAGGAGTAATAACCCTGCCAATGGGCAAGGATGGAGGAATGAACTGGGTAAAAGTCAGAATAACTAATACTTTTACGAGAGATGGGACAACTGAGGATAGCTTCCTTAACGGCAGCGTCTGCATGCTCATTTAAAGAGATATGGCTGGGAACCCAGCAAAATTCTACCGACTTAAATTTACTGGATATAAGAAACAGCCAATGTTGAATCTCAATGACCACCGGATGGACTGGATGAAAGGACTCCAGAGCCATGAGGGCACTACGAAAGTCAACTACAACCACAAAAGAGGACTGACAGCGAGAAAGCAGGAGACGAAGAGCATAGAGAATAGCATAAAGTTCTGCCGTGAAGATGCTAGGCTCCGGAGATAGGAGACACCCATAAGTGTGGTTAGGAAAACAACAGAGTAGCTTACACCGTCTGCAGACTTAGACCCATTGGTGAAGATGGAAATGGAGAGGGAGTGTGAAGAAAAGTGTTCAAGGAAAAGGGATTTCAGAACTGGAGGAAGCTTTAGTGATGTGGGTCAGGTATGTACAAAATTTTGGAAGGGGCACCCTTCACAGGGGCAAGGATGGAACAATACGAGGAGAAATATTGGTAATACTAATATTAACAAAATCTGAAGCTCCTTAAAAATTCATAAAAGTCAGTACTGGGAATAAATAAATAAATACCACCACTAACATCAGTACGGTACAGTACATTGTTAAAAATGAACTTTAAAATTTCATGTGTAAACTGTAAAGTATTCCTTTCCCTGTTAAAATATTTTGTTTATTCTTCCACTGTAGTGTATGAATTCAATACTAAGCAACAGCAACTCGCCTGTTAACCATTAAAATTATCGTAGAAATCCATCATACACCGAAATAAAATTCTTGAGTCGAGCTAAAGAAAAAGTCACAGTAACACACAACCTTTTTTGATGTTACCTAAAGAAAATTAGGTCTTAAACTACAAAAAATATATAAGATGACTAGCCTACATCTGCTCACTGTTGTAAACACTACAAAATCATCTCATAAACTTGAAATAGTTGGCAAACTCAAACATTAAATTTTATGCTCTATAATAATGCATCAAAATCATAAAGAGTTCAACAATAATCTGCAAATTAATCAAACATATTTACTGTAATAATACAGCATTGAAATATATGCATTATATGAAAAAATAATGAATGGCAACAAACATAAATGTAAGCCTGTCTCACCAGCCCTGAACTTGTTGCTTCCCATGACTGCTTGGAGACACCATTCAGCTAGTGGAACCAAATGAGCAACATTGCTATTCAAACTTATGCAAAATGTAGATTGTTATTTGATGACCACATTGCACGCTAGGTTTATAGAATAAAGTGCCTTGCAACAAGGCTCATCAAAACAAAGACTAAAAGTGGAATAAAATTTAAATCAGATGAAGGCTTCAATACCACTAATTTGGTCCTCTGTACGTTCAATATTCAAGCATCAAGTCCCTAAAATTAAACCAAAATATTAAAATTAATAAAAATGTTATGTATGATTAACTAACCAACTATTGAATCAAGTGTAAATGATGACTGAAGACTCGGATAAAACATAGTATAATGTATTACAGTACAGTAATATAATAAGACTGTCTATTTTGTGGAATGAAGGGAATGTACATCACAAATAATTAAAAGCTATTTTAAGTTCAAGGAAAGTTAAGGTCATGAATTGAAAATATGTAAAAGTAAATCATTAAAAATGAAAAAATAACAATACTACAAAATTATCTTTACCCGTATTGCCCTCATCCTCAACATAACAAACGTAATATCCTCAGCCTTTCTCTCAGCAACATTCAGGTTTTCTTGAAGTTTTTTTACCTGTGAAGAACAAAATTGTTAAATCTTGTTTTAAATACATCGAGACAAAAAAGGACACAAAAGGCTAAATATAAATTGGATACAATTAAAAAAAAACCATTGAATGTAATGAAACGCTATTTTCTGGGCGAGTCCCCAGAAGCTTCCCGGAGCAATCCAGGCTGATATGGATATCCCTAACTATCTTGCATCAATGTGGGTGGAGTTCTAAGCCTACCAAGGACCACGAGCCAAAACCTGGCCCCCTCACAGAGGCATGAGGAGCAATGGCCCATAGAAATGAACATGTGATGTGGAGTATTCTATATCTGCCATTGACCGGGACAGGTACCCAGAAAGGCAAACGCCACAAAACAAACCCCTATTCTGGTTAAAACAACAAAAAACGCCAACAAGTGGACAGAACTCCCCAAGAGAAAAACGAGCAAATAAGCATGACGTCACTGGAGCCGCATGTCTGCACAGCTCCCCCCATCCCCGGGAGGGGGAAGGGGGAGCCCCAGACCCTCGTGCTGGCAATCCACCTCTCAGTTCTGAGACTGGATATCAAAAACGCAAAAAACCGCCGACCAGAGGGAGCAAGGATTGCCAGGGAGCCTACGGGACCCACCCAGAAAATGGCGCTTCATTACATTCAACGCTAGTTTCTAAGGGAGCCCCTATGGCTCCCCGGAGCTACTTCACCAAAGATAAGAAAAGGGGACTTACCCAGGAAGCGGTTGGTGCTCTACTCCTCAACTTGAAGTCGAGACAACAGGCTGTAACCGCCGGCCCAAAGCAACACAGGTCCGACTGGGCCCAGGAACGTTAAACGAGGTAGTGTGCAGCCAGGACCCTGTTCGACTGCCAAAAACCCCGTGCCCAAATATCAGCCAAGACATATTGCTAAAGACAGCAGCAAGAGCAGCAAACTTATGAACGTCATGGGCACAGGGATAAACCGCAGGCTGGCTGGATTTAATTACCTTGCGCACAACCTGAGAGACCTGAACCCATGAACTGGGATAAAGGGAAACCGGATCAACCCAAAGCACGTCCCCGGACACAGAAGCCATAACATGCAGATAACGGCGGATGGCCTCAACTGGACACAACACATAGTGAACCCCTGGCCTGACGAACCAAGCATCAACAACCCAAGGACACCTCCGGAAAGCAGCAGTCTCATTTTTGCCAGAAAAGAAGGAGATGGCTGCAGACGAACATACCTATGACCACGACTAAGAGCAAAAACCTCTGCGCTGGAGAAGAGAACGAAGCTCCGACACCCGACCCCCAGAGGCTAATCCCAACAGAAAAAGAGCCTTAGCAAAACAATCCTGAACTGAAGGGGCCACAACCAACTGAGGAGAAGAAAGATAGGAACACTCTGTCCAATGACCAGGATGCTTCAGGCGGCACATGAGCAGGCCGGAGGTGAAACAACGCACGAGACAACTTGCAAAATGGTGCAGAACTAATATCGATACTGAAAGCAAGCTGCAGCTGAACCAGATGGGACTTCCTCCAGTTCACCAGGAACCCCAACCCAGCGAGCTGGGAAAGCATCAAATCCCTGGCGAGCAGACCCGCAGATCGACTGGGAGCACAAACCAGCCAGTCATCGAGGCAAGCCAACACCCGAACACCTAACAGACACGGATGGGCCACCACGACCTGGATAAGGCACGCCAGGTGCCAGATTCAAGCCGAATGGAAGGCAACGAAAGTGGTAACTCTGACGCCCAACAACAAAATCCGAGCCAGTCACGGAACTGCAGATGAATAGTGACATGCCAATACGCGTCCTTGAGGTTCAGGGACACCATCCAAGCAATCGGCTCCAACAGAAGCCGGACCTGGGACAGAGTGGTCATCCGAAATGAGGGACAAAAAACCCACGGGTTCAGACGGGACAAGTCCAGAATGAACCGCAGGTTCGCAGTCCCGTTTCGGAACTGGGAACAGGAAAGAAGCCCACCTGAGAGACGTTGTCGTTTCGACCACGCCCAAGCGCATCCACTCCAAGATAATCCGACAGAGCGCAGGAGACGAAGCCTGCCCTGTCAGCCCCGAACCCCCCAGAGGAGTAGGAGCCTCCCAACGCTACTGCAGGCCGAGAGAAACGACCCGAAAAGCCCACAAATCGTGAGACCAGGCGTAAGCAAACAGGGCAAGCCTCCTCCCCACCGACCCGTCAATGGGGCAAACCGCAAAAGGGCCGCTGCCCCTTATGAGAACCCGACCTGCACACACAGCGAACATCGCGCCGACCAGGCACAGTCAGGACTGCAAGCGGCACCAGCACCGAAACCGACCCCAACGAATGGAACTGCGAGCCCTGGCACGACCTTGCCGGGAAAGAACCCCTAGGTTCCCCCGGAGCACCAACAATTTAGACATAGTGGAAGAAGCCGCCTGAATATAACAATTTAGACAATTTAGACAAGTGGAAGAAGCCGCCTGAATATAACCTGAAAAACACAGAGGCCTGAAAAAGCAGAGGACAAAAGGGGGAAGACAAACGAAGAACCAGGGCCCAAGTGGATTTCAAGGAGGAAGCAAGAACAGCCTGTCGACAAGCGAAATGCGCAGCGAAAAACCGCAGCAAAACCTCTTACAGGATCGGCGCAAACAGCTTCAAAAGAGCAGACAACGCACGAACAGCCGAGACTAAGGCGCCAGACCCAGGAACGGCCCAAGCGCCTCAACATCCTTCGCAATTCAATCTGAAGACAGCTCCAGGAAGGAAAAGAAATGCAGGACCGAAGCCAAAAAGCCACAAGCGCTTAAGTACTCAGCTACAAGTGCAGCCGACAGGGAAGGAACCTGCACATGAAGCTGAATCGCACCAATATCCCGCAAAAGGGCAGGAGTGAAAAGGCACTCATTAGGATGCGCAAGATTGCCCCCAGGTAAACCTGAACCACTATCAACGCTTCGCGCCACTCAAACGTGCGGGTCTGACAGAACGAGTCCTAAGCATCCAACGAAAACAAGAGGCAGTCTGCAAGCCAGGATGACCCCGGAACCTCATAACTCACCCAGTAAGGGCATGATGATTCAAACCTGAATGAAGAAGGATCCATTATGGAGGCATACTCTGGGTCACGCAGGACCCAAGAGGTAAGCTGCAATGGCTGACCGCACCTCAGGCGGCGAGATATGAGAAGCCAAAAACCTCCAGAAAGACGGAACCAAAGAATCCGCAGGGACACGGACCCGAACTCGGGGAGGAGCAGAACCCAAGTTCAAATTGTACACAGAGGGCACAGAGGGGGGGGGGGGGAAAGAACCCCTACTCAGAAGGACGAAAAATCCAGGCGGGGTCCAATGGAGCCCAAGGCCTCCAAGTCAGCTCCTCCCCAACTCCGGGAACCTCCAGTCTGGCCCGGGGGCCAAGTCGTTTTCCAAAGCCCCGACCTCACAAGGAAAGGCCAGGGCAGCCGATAGAGTCAGAAGGGAAGGGGCCCACTGGTCAGACCCCGGAACAACGGCAGGAGGAACAGACTTTAATGCCTCCTCAGATACCCTGGTTGGGGCAACCCCCAAAACTGCCTGAATCTCAGAAACCTCTAAACCCTGCCCCGACCCCGAAGCAGGAAGTGTGGGGGGGGGGGGATGACCAAATGAACCACCGAAGAGAAACCCCCTTGTGGTTGGGAACATTCTATGTCTGCTATCGACCGGGATAGGCACCCAGAAAGATAGGCACCCCAAAACAAACCCCCTATTCTGGTGAAAATATTGCTACTGAAAGTCAAACGAGTGGACAGAACGCCCCAAACAAAATTATCAAACCAGCATGACGTCATCACGTCACCGCAACACCGTCTGCACAACCCCCCTCCCAGGGAGGGGGAAGGGGGAGCCCCAGACCCTCCATGCCGGCGATCCAACTGGCAGTTCTTAGGCTGGATGTCAAAATACGCCGCCGACCGGAGGGATGGAGGGAGGGAGGGATGCCAGGCAGCCTCCGGGACTCACCCAGAAAATGGTGTTTCATTACATTCAACACTGGTTTTCTGGGGAGAGCCCCATCGGCTCCCTGGAGCTACCTCACCACAGATAAAAAAAATAGGAAAGGATCCAGGAGGCAGACGCCATGCGCCCTAACCTAAAAAACCAAGACCACAGACGAAACAAAAACCCTGCGGACCCAAAACCCCCAAACAGGAACGAGGGAAGAAGGGAACGCGAACAACCAAAATGCATCCATGACCCCAGAGGCCAAGACACGCAGAGAACAGCCAAAAAAATGCAACCGAACAAAAAAGGAAGCGCCCCCCCCCCCTGGCGCGACCAACCAAGCAGCAACCCAAAGATCAAAATGAGAAGAAAATAGATCACCCAGGCCAACGACCAGGACGGCACCAGAACTCGAGCAGGCTGGAGGTGAAACAATGCCCAGGACAGCAAGCGGAACGGAGCAGAAGGAACCGCAACACCAAACGCAAGCAGGAACAGCTCCGCCAGCACCACCCAATACGAGGTGACAGGACACAGACTTAGACGACAGTCCTGGAACAACCCCAAAGGGAAGATAAGCCAACCCTATCAGAGACCGAAGGACCCTTCGCAGTGATAGGAAAACCGGAAGGACCATCAGGAAAACCACACACCGTCCCCCCTGAGACGACACACGCAGGTGGGCGATCAACAACAAACCCACCAGTGCCGACACAAACGACGAGAAACTAGCACCACGAACGAAAGCTTAAAATGCGAATAAAAAAACAGCGACCCCGCAACCCAAAAAAGCAACATAACCAGCACCAGCAGGGAAGAATGACACACACGTCCCCGAGGCATCCAAGAGGAGAACTACGCAGGACTTAACCGCAGGAAAGCAAACATACCCGGTCCGGAAAAGGAACAAAAAAACCGGAGCCAGGACCGAAACCCAGCTACCGGTTCCAAGAAAAGGAACCAGTAAGGCAGGAGCGGCGGACTGAAAGTCCACAATCCCCCCACAGACGGTGCAACACCGAAGCCTGCAGTAAGTCATGAAGAAATATCGT